AAATTGTGCTGTGCTGTGTGTGTGTGTTTTCTTGTGCTGGCCCTGGGGCTTGAACTCAAGACCTGAGTGCTGCTCCTCAGCTTTATGTACTCAAGCCTAATGCTCTACCACTTAAGCCACAGCTTCACTTCTGGTTTTTGTGGTGGTTAATTTAAGTGTCATGGACTTTTCTCCATAGGCTGGCTTTGAACCATGGTCCTCAGATCTCAGCCTCCTGAGTAGCTAGGATTACAGGCATGAGCACCCAGTTTGTGCTTTGTGTTTTATATTTGTTACTTAAGTTTTGACCTCGTAGACATCCCAAGAGGGATATATTAGTATCATTTTGTACATAAAGAGATAGAGACTCAGAGATAATTAATTATTTTGACTAGCATTAAATTAAAAATAATAAGGAATTTAAAATCTTGGTCTATCTTACTCCAAAAGCCACACTTGATAAACTCTACCACATTACTTCCCTAAAAAGGAACAAAAAACCCCACTGGAGATTAAACCAGCACTTTCAGTATTAAGATTTGGAGCACTGCAAGCAATTGAATCAATGATACATCATTGCTTAGAGAACTAAGACAAGGCAATTTTCAAACCCTATCAGCTGCAATGTAAAATTTTGCTAATCATCTCTCTGGCTTAACTGAAAACTCAAAACCCCTTGTGGATGGAACTAAGTAAGGAGTTAAAAGCTTCTTACTTGGTCACTACTGGAAGGTTCCACTGTCCATTGCGTTCTTTGAGAGCAGGAAGGAATTTTCTCCTTTCTTTCATAGGATCCTCACAAGTGGCTCTGCTTTGTGTCCGCCAAGAGTTCAGACCACAAGGAGTAGCTGAGAACATGTTTGTGTGTGTGTGAGTGATTGGCTCTCAGTACACTCTGAAAGCTGTTGTTTGTGTCCTATCTGTAAAAGTCTCACAAAACCTCAAGGCCTGCTCTAGAGAACCAGAGCCATCACCAGCAAAAATTGGGCTTAGGTGGTAAAAAACATTAGGGAGATAAATGGCACTCATTTTGTTTTTCAGGGCTGTTTTCTTCACAGAAACATTTGTGCCTTTGACTCTACGAGACTAAACAGAAAAATAGGCTGTGGTTGGTATAAAGCTTGTATCTAGCAACAAGTTGAAGGGCTCACCTATGTGCTCAGCCTTGCAAATTCACATAAATTAACCAATCTGTCAAAAACTTTGTAATGAGTTTCACTAGAACTTCTTTAATGTCCCGACCCTCCCAATAGACTCTTCCCCATTCTTACTAACGTGTGAGTGCTTATTTGCCAAGCCTTTTGCAATTTGAGATGAGGGAAGTTTTATGCATTGAAAAGTCTATTGTGTATTAACAAGAGAGCTTTGTGCTTTTTTAAAAATATGAAGTCTTTTTTAATCACCATAATAATACTATGAAAGCTATTACTGTGTGGAAATATTGTAAATTCCCTTAAATCACAGAATAAATTAGCAACAGAAGCATAGTTGGGATTCACTTTTGTCTTTGAAGCTTATCTGCTTTCTAGTATTTTGGGCTCCAGGAGGAAGCTTTGGTGCATTTGAGCCCCCTCTTTGTGAAACCCTTAAAAGCGTTTCCTGTTAATGGCCTAGGTCCAATTTCTCCTGGAGGGCCCAGGTCTTTTGATATCTCAATGCATAGTGCATCATTGGGCATGTGGTTGGGTCTTCAAGCAGCTTTTGTTTTCTTGAGATTTAACCGATCATGTAGCTTTTGCCTACTTAACAATGCTTCAGCTAGGGTTCTCTGTCTCTCTGAAGGTCACCTTTGACCTTTGCTTAGAATACCACCTAGTTCTCTCTTTTAATTATCATCTACAATGTCTACAAGTGCAAAGTAGCCTTGCACTCCAACATGGGGAAGCATTCAGGAATCAGTGGATTTGAATAGAAACGTTAATCAAGTAGCTATGGGAGAATCAATAGAGATAGGATGAAGAAACACTATAAGGATATGGAGAGAGGAAGAGAGGGGAAATACTGTGTATGTGTAAAGATAGGGGCAAGTAACTTGAGGAGATTGGTGGGCTTGGAGAGATGGGGTGGGGGAGACAATGGGAAGAATGACATGGATCAAGATGCATTGTGCTCATTAATTGATATATTGAATTGAACAAAATATATAAGGCTGTTTCCAGGAAACAAAGGTGGTAATATTTTCTTCCTGTGTTTTAGATGGATTTAGTATACACAGTTGTCCTGACTGACCTGTTTCATTGTCCTTATGACCTCCAATCCCGAAATGTGTGACCATGTTTTTCAACGTAATCGTTGAGTCTGGTGCATTTTCGTAACCTAAAGCATTGTGTCTTATTTTTATATATGTGTGCGTTTCAGAAGTGTGAGTCAGAAAAATATCAGGAAGTTGCAGAAATGTAGAGCTGAGAGAGGCCCATTTCTCTGCCTCGGTAGTGATTGTTGAGTAATGTCTTCATTGAAGTGGGTGCTTCTACGGCCTGTAGATGGGCCATGTTTGCATCTGGGCTCTGCCTTGAAATGTTTCTTCTCGTGAACATTCCGCTTGGTTGGCTCGTAGCATGCTCCCCAGTGAGAGTCAGAATATTTTCATGGTGTGATATTTTTAAGAAATTCTTTTTATTTTCAATTGTTCATCTAAACATGCCAATGGATATTTAGGCCACATTTTGAGCAAAACTCACAAGGTATAATTTTTTTTTCCTCAAACTTTACATGTGTACACAAGATGACACAACTGAAAGAATTTGCCAAAGAGAACAAAGCATGAGGAATACCAAGGAATACAAGCTGATAACCAAATCCAAACCAGTGAGCATATCCGATTCAATGCAAGAAAAGATTACAAAACAAGCCTGTGTTTTGTCGGAAGCACTATCTAAAGACAGAGTTGCAGGATGCGCTCCAAGGCCCTTTGGGAGAAGGTATAAAAGCAGGGAAAAACAGGGACAGTCTTTACTTAGTCTAGCAGGGAACTATGGATAGGTTCTGTGAATTGGATCTGACTATTCATTGCTGCTATTGTAAGTCAGGCCTGGCAGTGATGTACATTCTCTCTCTCTCTCTCTCTCTCTTTCTCTCTCTCTCACTCATTCTCTCTTTCTCTTTCTCTCTCTCTCTGATCTTCACTTTAGCTTACTAAAAATAGCCCTTTGAGACCTATCTTCACAAACACTAGAAGAATTAAACTTGGTAAATCAACAAATTGATGAACCATGGAGTAGCAGAATATGACTACACATAAAATCCATGGGCAGTCCAATAATCATGTCTCAATTACTAACTCGACTCCATCTTTTGGACCAGTAAAGCCACTGGTAGGCAAAAAAACTGACATTTCCACAAAGGAAGAACTCAGCAATTGCCAGATCATTGAAAGAGACAGATGCATCTAGTTGATATATCATGTCTCATTTTACTTCAGATTTGTATCGTACTATTAGATAGTTCATAGGCTTTACAGGTGAATATCTGGAAGTTTTCTCTGTGAGTTCTTCTTCTAGATCTAATTGTAACATGAACACTTGTGTCCTATAAACTTCGAACGACTAAGAATGCCCTTGATCTTACTTATTTAAATTAGGAGATAGTTATAATTAAACAAAATCCAATTTCTAAAGTCAAGATAGAAGCTTCAATGGCAAAAAAGTCTCCTTTTGCATCTCAACTTTCTTATCCCCGACATTTACATTAAAGACAGACTGTTCAGAAGCCCTCTCTTTCAGTGACCCAAAGTCAGAGTGGTTTAGAAGCAGGAATTCATCCAACATGTTTTCTTTTGGGTCTTACCAAGCTCCAGAGCTTCAGAATATTACAGTGATAAAGCAACATGTGTTGGTTCATACTTATTCCAGAAAATAAAAGTTAGTATTGAGTTTCTAGAACTTCTCTTCTTATCCCCATCAGCAATTTCACCTTTTCATCTTCCCATTTCAAAAGACCTTCACACTTCCCTTACTACCATCGGACAATCTACTGATTTTAAGGAAAAATACAACCCAGTGCCCAGTTCTCCCTGCAAAACCTTAACTCTGCAAATCGCAGTCTCTCCATAGGAATATATTAAAGGCCAGCCAAGTGTGTAACGATTCATTTGATTGTTAGGAGAAAAAAAGGAAAACCAAACCCAGTTATGCTTAGAAATGAGAGCTAGCTGTCATTCCCATGAGCTGGAGAAACAGCTTGATCCTGGCAGCAATGATCACCTTACAGTAAAGAGAAAGGGGCATCAACAATTTCAATCTCACGTTAGTTATTAAGATTTATAAAGAAAAGGTTCAGCACACAGAGTTTAGCAGACCAGAGAAGAATGCAGTAACAAATTGGATCTTACAGCCAAGTGTCTACAGAAAAAAAAAAAGCAACAAAATTTCAGGGTGACTCTGCTGGTTGCAGCCACAATGACCTGCCAGGAAGGTAAAGTCTTTCATAAAACCGAACTAGTTGCATTACTTAAATAACATTAACTTCAGCCAAACAGTCAGGTAGTTGTTCACATGAAACCAAGGAAAGTGAAATATCCAGTTTCTATTAACACTAAAAGGAACGCACGCCAGCCATGATGGACCAAGGTACTTTGGTACAGTAGCCATAGCAGAGACATGAGTGGCCCGAAAGCGGGGAGTCACCCCCGGATGCTTGGGTGACAGGGTCATAGATGGTTTTTGAGACTCCTTACATCTCCTTTGAGGTTGAGGCACTGCCACATCCTGTCACAAGAGTCACATCAACAACTTAAGGTTATCGGTTGGCTTGTGACAACCGTGTGCAACATTGCTGCGTTGAAAAGGGACTTCAGGCTTGTTGAAAAGTCACGGTCATCTGAGGAAACAGTGCTTAGTGCCACAGATGAAACACTGTGGTCTCAAGCGGAATGCGGGAGAAGTTTCCAAAAATGCTTCCTTCAAGAATGTGTTCAGTTTTGGTGTCAGACCTTAGCTGGAAAGCATAAAGTTTGTCAGGGGGTGGGGGTGGGGGTAGGGAGGAGGGCAGGCAGGTCAGAAAGACATCTATGAGGATTTAAGTTGGGCAGCTTTCAGAAGATGAAAGATGTTTAAAGTTAAGGCCTTTATCTGCAAAACAATAGTATATTAATAAACTCTATACCATATTTACAAATGCATTCTGGTATGAAAACTAACAGTATTCTGTTCACAGTGCCATTGTTTATACAGGTAGCAATCCCATAATAATACTAACGTATTTTGGCATGGGACTCAGTAGCGCTTGGTATTTACAGAAAATGTACACGGGTGAATATAAACAGGTCATTGAATCCAGAAAAGACAGATTGGTTAATGGTGCAAAGAAACGAACTGTACAGCACCTGCCCTGGATGGCATGAGAGACACGGTTTCTGAAGTTGAGAGAAGATTCCAGATCTCTGACCCAAAGTGGCATAAAGTCATTAACAGAACAACGAACCCCCTTGTTGAAATTTGGGTACACTTGAGTAATCGTAGTCCCAAGTTTTAGATCCATTGTGTAGTGTATAAAATAGAAAAGTTAAAAAAAAGATTTATTATTATTTGTATCATCATCATCATCACCATCATCGCCATTATTATTATTAAAATAGAAGTTTACTTTCTGCCAAGCTCTTACTTGTGCTCTTGCACTTTAAACCCAAGTCCTTGGAGCTGCAAAGATGCTGGTGTGTTTCTCATGAGCTCTGCGGTGGGGATGGCGAACACAGAGATGCTCTGGATTCAGATGCTGCTGGCCTGAGTCACACAGAGCCACCCAGGGCCTGGGCGGGCCGGGGAAGGGGGGACAGGCAGAAGCACCTCTTTCTCACTCCTGATCTTCCGGGGCTGGGGGGGGGTCAGCCTACCCCGGGGGGGGGCAGGTTTGGGTTCCCACATGACCAAATGGAGTCGCTCAATTCCGGCAGCGAATGCTGGGGTGACACATGGCTTCTGTACACTTGGAGAAGAACACGGGGCAGGAAAGTGGCAGGCGGGAGGCCTGCGAAAGAGCCCCGGGGAAAAAACCCAGGACAGCTGGGCTGGTTGGCGGGAGGCGCCCCGTGGGGCTGGCCGGCCCGGCCTCGGGGAGGAGGCCTTGCTGCAGGCCGGCCGCTCCTGTCGTTCTGCGGGGCGCCGCCCTATGGAGTGTGGCCTTCAGCCGCTGCCGTCTGCTCGGCCTTCTCAGTCCCCGGGCTCGCGTGGTCCGGGCCGCCGGCGCTGCCCCGGCGTCTGTGCTGCTTGGACTGCAGGCTGTGCCACTGGGCCTTGTTGTAGGCCAGGTGGCCCAGCATGTTCTCCGACAGGGCGCTGTGCCCGGTGAAGCGGGCCCATTCCCGGAAGAGCGGCTCCACGATGTAGGTCATGAACCCTGCAACAGGCAAAGGCACTCATCACCACGGGACCAACACCGCTCCCCCTCCGCCTCACGAGTGGGCACCCACGGCGGTGAGCCGAGGAGCTCAGGACGCGACTCACTGGTCTTGGGCCTCAGTGTGCTCATCTGTGCAAAGGAGCTGAGAACCCAGGGGTTGTGAGGACCATGAAAGGAGTCAGCACGCGGAAAACACGGAAAAGCTCCGGGCACAGAGGAGACAGCCGACACTGCTCGTATTCTGTGCAGAGGAGGAGCCGAAGAGCCGGCTGGACCTAAGCGGGGCCTGCGGAAGGGGCCTCCAGGGTGGGAGGCGTCCTCGGCCCGGACTCCATGGAATTCATCATCAGCCCCCTGTAGAACTGTGTTTTCAAGACGATTGATTCACAGTTTGGTCTTGTCTTCAATTACATTGTTAAGCAATTACAATTAAGATAAACATCCACTGACAGAACAGATTTTTCTCCCAAAATTACTGATCTTTTTGCTATTAGACTTCCCTGTTTGTCTATTTTCTCCCATTTGTTTGTTTCGCTTTGAGACAGGTTCTGTCTAGGAACCCTAGGCTGGCCCCCAAGTCCAGTTCCTTTTCTCTCAGCCTCTCAAGGGCTGGGACTACAGACATGTTGAATGACTGATGACTCATTGTTTTCTAGTCCTGTTTTATTGTTAATGTGCTTTCCAAATTAATCATGATTTGCTTAAAAAAAAGATAGTAACTTTCAGACTAGGTTGTGATTATTGGAAGTATCACAAACTAGGGCTTATTTAGATTTCATTTCCTTGAAATGTAAGTATGGGGAGGAAAAAACAACCTAAATGTTTTTCAGCATAATACAATTTTTAGCTTATTCACCATTTACGTAATTATAAAATCTACTTTGATGAGTTTATTATCAGACAAATGGCAAACATTTAATCCTTGAGGATGCTGGAGAGATGGGACAGGATGCAGCGATAGAAAATGTTATTGTGTACTTCTGCATATTTTGTCATATATGAAATATGATTTAAGTATTGTGAGATCATTTTAGATAACCTGAACCCCAGAAATAAAGAAGAACCAATGGGCTTAGGATAAAAGGAGCCAGAAAATTAAGATTTCCCATTTTGCTTGCTATTTTTTAGTTTTCTTCATCTTTTGAATTTTCACCATCCCATATCTTTTACTTTGACAAAAGGTTAGATGAGATAAAAAATACAGTCTGTAGTGGGTACCAGTGGTTCATACCTGTAATCTTAGCTACTCAAGAGATTGAGATCTGAAGATTGCAGTTTGAAGTCAGCCAGGGCAGGAAAGTCAGTGAGACTCTTATCTCTAATTAATTACCAAGAAAGCTCAAGTGGTACAGTGCTAGCCCTGAGGGGGGGAAAAGCTCAGAGATGGAGCGTAGGCCCTGAGTTCAAGCCCCAGGACCAGCACACACACACACACACACACACACACACACACACACACACACACACACATGAATGAATCTATAAATATAAATATATGTTCTACAAAATGATACTATCCTAATATTGTATGTGTATCAAATTTATACAAATATAACAAAGTTACAGGTATTTAAAATAATTAACTCATGTTCTTGAAATTGCCTGGTATTTTACATACACTTTGCATATATACATGCACATATATACCTGTTAGATACAAAGACTTATTATGCTAGAAGGTTAAGTGATTTTAAAGTCTGAATAGATCCCATGAGGAATTGGGACCCTGTTTCCTCAGTGTGTGGTACCAACTTTGTCTTGTCCAGGGCTGAACTGACTGCTAAAGTTTTGTTATCCCAGAGGGATTGCAGAGGGGGAAGGGAGAAGTGGTAGCCGCAGCATAAACAGGGATTACAGAAAAATCTTTTCCTCTTCATTTTCCTGTAGATTTCACCAGTTCAAGATTAATTTGATTTAGCATCTTTTTCAAATGCAAAGGGAAGTGAAAACAGGCGAACTGAATGGGGCTAGGGAAAGGATATTAAGTCCCACGTCCTCCTGGATAAATTACTTAAATAGAAAATCAGATGTAAGCCAAACTGAGATCTGCACTCAGGAAATTCTCCTTCTGGATTGCAGTGGGAGAAATGAGAGGGGGCATTGTCAGTCAGAGAGGAGTCAGGACAGAGGAAGTAGCTGCATTGTGTAGGGACCCAGTGGAGAAATCATTGTGTGGGTGGGTGAGGGAGCCTGTGGCATCCATTAGATTGTTTATCTATTTGGCTATTTCCAGTTTAGCTTGAGGTGTGCTTTTCACATCTCCCAACCCTGGGCTGGCAGATGTCGAACAGAGGCAGAGAAGGACTTATGAACTGAGCATTGTTTTATAATCACCTTCTCATTCTCTTTAGCACAGCACGGGTATGCTGGTATAGCATCCACTGGAATCCCTAGTTACTCAGCCCCTCCCCTATCCCATTTTTAAAAGTGGTATCTATGGTAACGACATTTTCCTGAGCTGAAAATCAGGACATATGATCTGACAAAATCAGTGTGTTCTCATGACAACAACAGGACAGATTCTATGAAATCAGGCCTGTCTTGCAAATCTAGGTAGAGTGGTTAACAGTGTAACTACTTTTGTCTAGGGTGCATGTGGTTCAAAACATTATTAACAGTTGCCTGGCAAATTTCTTTCCAGCCAGAGCTTAACTCAGTGAGTCTCTGGATTAGACTCAACTGTAGAACTAGACCACTAATACACAGGACAGAAGGGATCCCATGGAGGCTGAGGCTGCATTTCTATTGGGTTTTCCTTGTCTCCTAGATTCCATCCAACCTTGCAATAATTCTGAGTCCTCCTCTGTCCTGGGAATTACTTTTTAGATCCCTTTCATTGTTTTTTTTTGATAAAAGAATGGTTTAATTGTTAAAATAACCAAAAATTATTAAACAATACTTTGAAAAAGATGGATTATCTTTAATCTCATCATTCCAGCATGCCTATTTGAATAGGTAAATATTCATTCAAATCTTTGTAGCTGGGTGCTTAATTCAGCCTGGTTCTCGCAGATGACTTGAAGACTCTTTTGTTGAACAATTACCCTCAATGGTTAGAATTAGATTAGAATAGATTAGAATGTCATTCTAATTTGCTCTGACTTTCTTCATTTTCAGCTGATCTCTTTTAATACCTACTTTCCTCCCAGTGTTAAGGCATTAAGTATTAGATGTCTGTCTCCATATGAATGCATGAAGCTGACTGAGGACTGTGCAGACAGATAACAATATGAACTGCTACACAGCAAACCCAGAGTTATAAGGAAAAGATCCATGCTTAGTTCCAGGGGAGGGGAACAGCAAGGGAAAAAGGTTGGCTTTTTGTGCAGATGGAATTACTGGAGGGAAAAATCTCTTCCATTTGATTTCCTTAATGGTCTTATGTCTACTGCAATTAGATAAAAAGAATAGTTATTTGGAATGCAATGATACTACTCTTTTACAGTTTACTACAATTGACATTTGGAAGGGAGAATGACTTTAACAGAACAAGACTGAAAATGTAGTAGCTCAGTTATGATGAAAGTGTTTGTGTGGCCTCAGCCATTTGGACCTTCAGTGTCAACCTGGGAAAGCTGCATGTGTATCTTTCATTTGTGTCTTTTCAAAAGGTGCCAAATTGTAAACTGACATGCAGTGTAACTCACCAATTTGTATGCTAGGGATGGAGTCTTTCTGTTGATTACAAAGAGGACTGATTTCCAGTTCAAATTTCTGTTCAAGGTCACCTAAGAAGAAGAAGAATAAAAAAAAAGGAGATTAATTATACAATGTGTGTCAAGGGTTTTAATGACTGTTGGAAGAAGTTGTGGTAGGGATTACAGTTCCCTGCTGTTACCATCAGGAGCCATTTAGCACCAACTTGCTCTGGTAGCTTGCCTGAAAATTTAATATATCAGAGTGTCAATGATCATATATAATGGGCTTATTGCAAATGGATGCGTTGTTAGACTGGACTAAACTTTTGCATAAGGTCTATACAAACAGGAAAACAACTCAGGGGCAATTGTCTAACATGAAACAGAAGTTCTGGCTTTAAGTTACAGGTTAGGTGACAGATTTTTATTCTCCTTCCCTTCTACTTCTCCACCTTCACATATCATGACCCTGCTTTGGTTTTAAGAACAATAATTCAGGAGGAAATGGAGGTAAAATAGGGAGATCTTCATTTGCAGTAACCATCTGAAGCTACAAAATCAGAAGCAAGGGCAAATATCATTAAGTATTAAGTTAGCTGAAAGCCAGCTTCACCCCTCACCCGCCTTTGTCTATGAATGGTGATTTTTCAGGCAAGTGTGACATTCTGGAGGAGTCATCTTCGATTTCTACCTTTCCTTCATCTCAGGGCACTCAAGTCCCTTCTTTCTGTCTTAGAATATCTTGTTTTTCCTCTTTCACACTCTTTGATCCTCGTCTGGTTTTATAATAAGTCATTCTTAGTTTTTGCTTCTTAGTTCCTCCAGCATTTCTTCTACTTCAACTACATACATAATATAAGGTCCGCTCCTGCATGGCGAGCAGACTCCACCCTCCTCCCAGCAAAGTCTCCGCCTAGTACCTGCATTACCTAGGCAACTAGCACACCTAGAAGGGTCACATCTGCATCCACTGAGGTCACATCTGGATTTGATGTAGCCACACCCCTTCCCTTCCCAGGGCCAGATGCTCTCTTTCCCAGGCCTTTCCTAGCCGTGTGGAGTGCTAACATGGCCTGGTGCCAGCCAGAACGATGAATAAACTTACCCCTGACCTGAATACCACGTGCGTGGTGTGGTTCTCTTTTTAAAAACCTAACACATATATTTTATTAAATGCACGTTCTAAGACGACTCCCGTGGATGTGTGCTCTACTTTGGCTTGATGTACAGAAGCCTCTAAGATTCTTTCATTCTCAACCTCTACAGCCTGAGCCAGACTACAAAGTGGGACACGCCCCCATCACACTGCCTTTGTTTCTTCTCCATTGCCCTCACTGGACCAGCACCATCTAGTGGGACGCTGTGCAATGATGGAAATGGCTCACTTGGGTAGCCCCTTGAAAAATGATCAATACAACTGAGGGACTGAAGAGTTAATTTCATGACATTTTAATTAATTTGAATTTGACCAGCCACTTGTTTGTTTTGCCTACCATCGGAAGCGTAGAGCAACACATATCCTTCAGTACCCAGTTCAAATCCCATCATCTCCAGCACTAACCCTCCAGCTCTAAACCTTTTCTGTCATCTCTCTAATAGGAGCTCTTCCAGTTAGATCACTTACTCAATAGGCAGTTATATAGCACTGCATACTTTAGGTACTTTTCCACTCAATGTAAAGAATATGAACAGAAAGAAACAAAAATGTTTCCTCTTCTCTAGGAACCTTGCTGGTTAGTATTTTGAGGGAGCAAAAGATAAACTAGCTATGTTAGGATTCTTTGCATGAATTGTAACATCCCCTGGGTGGCTTTGCTCATAGAAAAATTAGTTGAGGATTAAACAAGGCTGGAAAACAGATGGTTCCACTAAAGCTTTTGGGAAACTAGGTTGATGGGGTAGATATGAATCTATTGTCACCACAGGACAGAAATTCTACTTTCTTAAAGTGTTGACGGGTGGGGAGGCAGGTACATGGTTTTTAAAATCCTAGTCTCTGAGAATGGAACACTTTTCCAAATGATAGGATCTCGTTTCCTTCAACCTTGATTTTTTTTTGGTCAGTTGTGGGCCTGAACTCCGGGCCTGGACTCTGTCTCTCAGCTCTTCAGCTCAAGGTTAGTACTCTACCATTTGAGCCATAGCGCCACTTCTGGTTTTTTCTGCTTTTGTGGTGCTGAGGAATTGAACCCAGGGCCTCATGCATGCAAGGCAAGCACTTTACCACTGAGCCACCTTCCCAGCCCCTATAAATCATTCTTATGATACTTGTCCAGGACTTGGATGAGTTGGAGTCTGAGTCCAAGATCCAAACAGAAAGCCCTATCTATCAAAGTGATACAAGTTATCCTTAAAGAATTTTTAAAAATTACTAAGAATAAGGGATAGTTTGGATGACCAGAGAGGGCAGTGATCTCTTCTCAAAACAGGTTTAACTTCCCCTGGGCTATAAGGACCGTAAATAGAAAGAATCAGTTGCCCTCTCTGTTCCTTTATTAGAAGACGTGCCAGAGTTTTTGTTAGAAGAAAAAGCCAGTGGCTCACGCCTGTAATTCTAGCTACTCAGGAGGCTGAGATCTGACGATTGTGGTTCAAAGCCAGCCCAGGCAAGAAAGCCCATGAGAGTCTTATCTCCACCAGAAAATGGGAAGTGGCACTGTAGCTCAAGTGGTAGAGTGTTAGCCTTGAGCAGAAGAGCTGAGGGACAACGCCAGATCCAGACTTCAAGCCTTATGACACACACACACACACACACACACACACACACACACACACACAAGACATGCCAGAACAAAGAGGGTGAAAACTCACCTTCAGTGATCAGAGCTACAGCAATTCTAAATGATTCCCAGCTCACAGAGCTCCACGTGTGTATCTTATTAGGGTTCTATCTTATCAAGGACCTCTTTGTGCAAGAGGTTACTTAATTGATGCCATCTGCCCCACTTAGTTAACAACTTTAAATAATGAACTCTACCACCTTACTATCTACCCAAGCGACATGGCTTCTTCTCCAAGTTGCCCAGAATCTAGATGAGCAAATAAGAGGAGGTTCAACGGCAAATGACACCAACAATAATCCAGAATTGAGTCAAGAGAGGAGGACCTGGTCTCTATTCCATTGTTTGATGGAGCTTCTTGCCCCCTCTTACTGCTGTTTCACTAGTTTGTATTTCTTACAGGAAAGAAAGATGATCATACCTAATCTAAGACCTCTTTGCTCCAATTTCATCATACTTCCTTTGTTCTGTCCTTAGTGGAGGTTTTTATAGCATAGGCAACTAGAACTGAGCTTTTGATTTCTAAGCACTCACATTCAATTCAAATGAAATTACCCAGAGTTTCAGGAGCTACGTGAGCACTTGCATTGTGAGTGAGAGAGGAAGCGTGATGGCAAGCAGAGCCTTCTGGCCCCACATGAACTCAGTTCCTCTTTGTCTTCTGTCTTGGGGGCCATCCCGATGTCACTGACACATCTTTCAGTGGAGACTTCTTCAAAAGGCTCACTGTGGCTGTCTGCCCTCCCTACAGAGCTGGTATGTGGGACACTTCAAACTTTATTTGCTCTCAGTCTTTCAAACACGATGCTGTCACTAGCATGAGGGGACCATTGCTGCCTGAACAAACATCCTGAACATTGAAACGGAGCCTGAAGAAACAAGACTATGTTTTAAAGGCCCATATCCCACCCAACGTCAGGATCCTGCTTCTAATGCATTGCCTTCCTGATGAGGGAGGGTAATCTTTGTAAAAATTACATCCTCCCTCAAGACCATTTGTCTTTTCACAGAAAATTCATCTACCTCACTGCTGAAACTGTCATGGAAAGGTGGAACGGAATATTTGGAGAACTGGGAGCTTTGCTGAGGAAACCAAAGGGAAGGCAGACAAAAGGATCTAAGTCCTTTGGTCAGGAAGAGATTGACCCCTAATGGTACTTGGCTTTTAGGCTCTGCTTAGCTCATTGAAGAGAAAGAGTAGAGATCAAACTGTCCATCACATTATTATATCTGCATATGTATCCTGAGAAGCGCATATACAAACAACTACTTATCTATCTCCTGTTTTTGCACATGTTGCTAATTTTCACTGTGCATTATTATTACTTGTTTCTTTGATATGCCAATGTTATTTATTAAAATTCTTTCTTTTCTTTCGCACGCACAGTGAAGATGGATGATTTGCAAGACAGTTAAAGAGAAAGGTTAGGGTAATAAGCGTTGATGGGAGAGCAAACATCACCCTCATGAGCTGTTTCCTGTTTGACTAGGATAACTCTCTGGAAGAATCTCAGCTGAGGGGTCACCACTAACCTTGCCGGTAGAACTCTTCGCAGACTCTTTCACTCCACTGTTTGCTCATCTCCCAGATTCGACAAGGATTGCAAATGTCTGCACACTTCAATGCGATCTGAGAGAGAACAGGGCAAGGAGAATTTGTCAGTAGATGACCCTTCAGAAGGCCGAAAATGTCCCCTAAGCCAAAGGGCTGCCTGGCCGGTAAGGTACCAGGCCCATATTTACTGAGGGCCTTCCCAAAGTGTCCCTCCAGGAAACAGCCCTTATTCATAGGTTTTGTGAACCCTTCATCCAAAACCCCTGCTTTGTAGCAGCCAGGAGAGAAGAGCCACAATACAAGAACACAGAACTTCCTGGAGGAGACTGGAGCCTTTTGCTTCACCTTTCTCAGGCAGAGCAAGATTGCAGGGACGTGGCCAGGATCAAGGAGGATCATCAGGAATTGATTCTATGTACACCAACTGTATACATTATTTATATTACGTGTATTTACATTGATGTTCCTATGACTGAACGAAATGAACTCAGACTGCCAGTCAAGATGCCAACACACCTCAAACTTAGGTGCACAAACTTAGTTTGCATAGCTAACTCCGAGTGGTCTTGACTTACTTTATACACGTCTGGATCAGATACTGATTTTTGCTAGCTTGATGATCCTGGAGGTATTACCCTGAGTTCCCAGATAACTTAATTTTCCTGTTTAACCACCACCTGCCAAGAAATCTGCAATACCAGTTTTGGGGATCATAGAATAGTGGCATGTGTTGCGGATTCAGACAATGGTGGATCATGCTAAGCTGCAAATTTTGTCATTTGTTTCCTAGCTAGTAGGGCTATAAGTACATGTTAGGATGCAGGTTTTCAGGGTGAATCTTGTAGTTATACCTTGGCTTAAGTCTCTCAAGCCAAATGTTAGGTTAATCTTTGAGTATTCAGGGACTAGAAGACCAGCTTGGGAAGAAAGTAGAGCTGGGAATAGGGTGTTTCCTGGCAAAGATGGAACACTTTGGACAGCTACAAGGGAAACTGTGAAGACTTGTATGAATCAGCCTCCAGTTCCTCAATAAAGCTGGCCTGTCTAGATGAGTCCAGGGCCTAGGCTTGTAGTCTTTTGTGCCAACAGGGAAGAAGGAAGACAAAGGAAGAGGAAGATTACGATGGGTTGGAACTGCATTCAGTGGTGTAGGCCTTGTAATCTCAGCTGTTCAGGAGGCAGAGGTAGGAGAATCATGGGTTCTAGACCAGCTTGGTAAAATTAATAAGACCTTAACTCAGAAATAAGATTTAAAAACAAAAGAACTGGGGATGTTGCTTAAGTGCCCAGTAAATGCAAGGCCTAGATCTCTAGTGTTTTGGCTTAAAAAAATACTGGCTTAGATTCCAGATCAGAATTTTATTTGAGGCCTACACTGCCTGTTTTTCTCCTGACACAAATAGGTTCTTGCCAGAGGAAAATAGAAATTGTTGGGCTTGATCCAATTCAATCTGATTCAGTTCAATTAAACTTAAATGAACATAACTATTGGTGTTTAAAGCAGTAGGGCTCAGATGAAAATAGGAATTTAAGTAATAAAAAGAAGCAAACAAAATCTACTTAAGTAAATTTTAGGAAAAGGAAAGCTACATGTTTTCAATTTTGGTGGTACTCTAACACAATATATTTATGAGTAACAGAAATAGTTTTGGGCTGGGAAGGTGGCTCAGTGGTAGAGCGCTTGCCTTGCACGCATGAGGCCCTGGGTTCGATTCCCCAGCATCACATAAGCAAAAAGGAAAAAAGCCGGAAGTGGCACTGTGGCTCAAGTGGTAGAGCGCTAGCCTTGAGCTGAAGAGCTGAGGGACGGCGCCCAGGCCCAGAGTTCAGGCCCATGACCAGACCCAAAAAACAAACAAAAAACAGAAATAGTTTTTGAGCCAGGTGCCAGCAGCTCATGCCTGAAATCCTAGCTACTCAGGAGGCTGAGAGCTGAAGACTGCAGTTCCAAGCTACCCGAGGGAAGGAAAGTCTGAGAGACTCTTATCTCCAATTAATCACTGAGAAAGCCTGAAGTGGTACTGCGGCACAAGTGGCAGAATGATAGCCTTGGGATAAAGGAGCCCAGGATTAGTACCCAGGCCTAGAGTTCACGTCCCGGGACTGGAAAAGAAAAAAAAGTTTTTGAAAAACTGCATAGGAATCATACTGTTCAGTAAATCACAAAGCATTGTAAACACTCGGCGCCTAGGAGTATAGCTCAGTGGTACAGTACTTGCTTAAGAATGCCAGGCCTTCCTGGGTTTGAGCTCTAGTACCATCCATCTTTCCCTCATCCCCAATAAATACTGATAGACTCTTGTTGTAAGCAAGCAACCTTCCAGTAGGGATTGCTTTGTAGTTACTGATCAAGGAAAAATGAGATAAATGGATGAAAAACCTAGATTTTTTGCTTGCCTAAAAACCATTTAACAATTTTACCATGTGGCAAAGGTTTTAATAAGTCACTACTCAGTCTTCTGCCATAGACAGACAACTCCTCAAACGTGCTAAAATCATCAATCATGCCCCAAGTGTTTTAACTCAGTAAAGCAAATGGCTTTTTGTTGTTATTGCTGTTGTTTACCTGAAGCATAAAGTGTCTGTCGTGTGCATCTTCCAGTCTCAAGTCTTTATTGTGGAGGTGAGCTTGCAATCGGGTCAGAAATTCATTCTGCCTGTTGATGTCTGTGGCCAAAATCAGGGAGCCCAGCTGCTGTTCAATACTCTGTCTGCAGCCACAAGAATGAAAGAGAAAAACATACAAAGCCAATCCCTTTGAGGAGGATGATTGATTCTCTCATCACAGGTGGCTTGTCATCTCATTTATGCCTTTGTTTCTGTTTATTACACAGGGTTTTAGTCCCTTACAGCCCAAGAATCAGTCTCCCGCTCTTGGACAGGAGGTGTCGTAGACATGTATGGAGTTATTGAAGTCTTAGGTGAACAAGGCGGTGGAAGTTTACACATCCCCACGGTTGCTATGGGGGGAAATTCAACGTCAAATAGGAATGTGTACAGGACACAAAATGGCATGCAGAATCACAGGAATTTGGGTTGTGCTTTGTGAGAGCTTGTTCAAGAATTCTTTTCATGGAGAGAGGAAAGTAATAGTCATAATAATGATGACAGTAACAATGACTCACTGTGGAGTGGAAAGGTCCAGTAATAGCACAAAATACATAGTCCAGAAAAAGATAATGGGACCAAAAGGGGGAAAAAAGGATAATCAGACACCATTATCAACTAGTGGGCAAGAGATATATTAGTCAATACAAAGTACAGGGGAAATGTCAGATTTTACAAGAATAGCATGTTAAGACTTTATTCATATGTATAAACTAAGTAATAGAAGAAAGGGTTTATAAGTATGTTTAAAATTCACCTCTAAAAATGACATATATGTAAGTAGAATACACAGAACATACATATATAGTTTAGCGAATAAATATAACATAAGCATCGTATAATCACTCCCTGGGTTAAAAGCATTTCCTGCTAGTTCCCCAAAATACTCCCTATTACTTCCCCCATTATATCCTTCTCCCCGAAGTTTGAACAGATTATCCTCTTGCTACTTACAAACATGTTGCTAGCCAGGGACTGGTAGCTTACACCAGTATTCCTACCTATTCAGGTGGTTAAGACCTGAGAATCATGGTCCAAAGTTCAGAAAAGTTCATGAGACTACTGTCTCTAAATTAACCACCAAAAAGCTAGTGGAGTTGTGGCTGAAATGGTGGAGTGTCATCCTCGAGCAAAAATACTAAGATATAATGCTCAGGCCCTGAGTTCAAGCCCCAGAACTGGCATTCACTCAATTTTTCTTTTTACTACCTGTGAATACATACTTAAGCAATATAGTTTTGAGCTTTAAGCTATATGACATGTATTAAACCATCTCTTGTTTCTTTTTTTTTAGTATCATACTAAGAAAAATCTATTTGTAGCATTTATTTTTTATATATATTTTTTATTGTAAAAATACTGTACAGAGGGGTTACAGTTACATGAGTAAGGTAACGAGTACATTTCCTATCGAGCATTGTTACCTCCTCCTTTGTTTTTCCCCTACCATCCCTGCCCTCCCCACTTTCCCAACTCCTCTCTCCTCCCCTACCCCTGAAGTTATAAAGTTCGTTTTCAACATAGTGTCTTGTACATCTCATTGTTACAATGGGTCAACCTGTTTCTCTAGCTTAAAAATACGTTTTAAAATTCTTTCATGTAGATGAGTAGGCTACAGTTCATTCACTATTATATTGTATTACATTATGACAATATTCTACAATGTCTACGTTTTTTTTTTTTAAGTCTGTCATGGGGCTTGAACTCTGGGCTTGGGCACTGTCCCTGTGCTCTTCAGCTCAAGGTGAGCGCTCTACTGCTTGAGCCACAGCGCCACTTCCGGTTCTCTAGTGGTTTATTGGAGATAAGAGTCTCTCGGACTTTCTTGCCTGGGCTGGCTTTGAACAGTGATCCTTATATTTCAGCCTCCTGAGTAGCTAGGATTACAGGCATGAGCCACTGGTGCCCGGCTACAATGTCTACTTTTGATGGTCACTTGATTTGTTTCTAGTTTTTGACTACTATGCAAAATGCCTCATAAATATCTTTACATGCCCCCAGTTATGTATGAGCAGAGTTTTCTCTAAGGTATATGTCCAGGAATAAAATAAATAGATACCAAGGTTCATCTACTCCAATTTAGTAGATATGTTAGTGCAATGCTTTCAGGGAGGTACTTTAGGAATTAAGATTAAAAGCATTTGATGGCAAAAATAATATAACCATCAGTTCATCACAGTTAATGTTAGTAAGGATATAATTAGTAAGAATATTTGTTGTAAGAACACTTATCATAGTGTTTATAATAGTGGGTCATTTTAGGAAGGAAAAAGTCACAAAAATTCACAAATAGGTGCTCAAAAACTGCTACATTAAAACTGTGAAGCTATTAAACATGACGAAGTACATATTTATTGATATAAATGTCATGATTTATTGTTATATTAACTGACACAACACATGCACACTGTGATCCCAATGGTCACAGAAAAAAACCTGGAAAGACATAGTGGGATTATAGTTTATTTTTTTTCTTTATTATATTTCTCAATAATGTATAAATTCTTCTAAAATATGAATATATATGTATATAAATACATACATCAAGGTCAGAAAATATAATTATTTTAGTTTAGGTGAAATGTTTCATGAATCTAATTGAGACAAATTTAAAAAGTAATATTTCAATATATAACAAATGGTTACTAAGCTAGGTACTAGTGGCTCTTGACTATAATTGTAGCTACTCAAGAGGCTGAGATCTAGAAGAGGACAGTTCAAAGTATGTCTGGGTAACAATGTCTGTGAGGCTCTGTCTCCAAAAAAATCAGTAAAAGGTATGGCTGCAGGCATGGCTCAGGTGATAGAGTACCAGCTAAATAAACAAGCAAGCAGAGTAAACACGAAGCTCTGTGTTTAAACCCCACTACTGAAAAAGAAAAAGAAAAAAGGTTACTCTACATAATATATAAAAAAGACCTTAAAATGCACAATACTGATTTGAAGACAGAAAAATGAGCAAACACAAAAATTTATTCTTTAAATAACAGTGGCCACTAACTATATAAAATTTTTCAATGTGACTACCTAAAAATGTATAGTAATTGAATTAAAATTCTTTCTGTATAAGATGTGTGTGTATGTGTGTGTGTGAAAATTGTAAATATCTAAAAATATGAAAACGGATAAGCTCAAAGTAGATGATATGTCATGGTCGTATTTTCTTATAACTCCTTAATGGAAACATTAGATACAGTGCTTTTTGAAAAAAAACAACTTGACAATAATCTGAGCAATAATTTCTATTTACAGATTTGGTTTTAGAAAATATAGTTTGGGGTAGAGATATATGCTTAAAACCATTCGTGGAATGTTACTGTAATGAAAAAATTTATTAACCACCTAGTTTCAAACAATAAACTCCAATTTATGCATAATAATGCCATAGAGCCAATAAAATAATTTTTTTTTTTTGGTCATGAGGCTTGAACTCTAGGCCTTGGCACTGTCCCAGAGCTCTTCAGCTCAAGGCGAGTGCTCTACCACTTAAGCCATAGCACCACTTCTGGTTTTCTGGTGGTTAATTGGAGATAAGAGTCTCATAGGATTGAGCTGGCTTTGAACTGTGCAATTCTCAGATCTCAGCCTCCTGAGTAGCTAGGATTATAGGCATGAGCCACTGGGTGCCCGGCCAACAAAATACTTTTAACCTAAGTAACCAATTTAATGGTGTGGAAAAACGTTTATAGTAGTGAATAACATCAGAATACAAACTTTTTTTTTTTTTTGTCAGTTGAAGGGCTTGAACTCAGGGCCTGGGTGTTGTCCCTGAGCTTTTTTGTTCAAGGACAGCACCCTACTACATTGAGCCATAGCTCCACTTCCCATTTTCTGATGATTAACTGGAGATGAGTCTCACAGACATTCTTGCCCAGGCAGGCTGGCTTCGAACTGCAATTCTCAGATCTCAGCCTCTGGAGTTTTACAGGCGTGAGGTATCAGCACCTGGCTGCCACAGACTTTTAAATTCCCTCATTTTGCTAAAACATGGTTATATTGAAAATGGCTGAAAGGAATTAGCCAACCAGGTGAACATGAGCTATTCTATTTGTCAGGATTCCACCTTTCCTCTTTGAATCAGATTGAACCATCTGAAACTGCTAATGTTATGCTGTTTTTGGCACTTCAAAAACAGTAACTTCATAGAATTCAAACAAATTCTATGTTTCATTTTCGTTTGTTTCTATAGTTAACTTCTCTTGTTTTTCTTTAAATCATAAAATGATTTAAGAGCATGTGTGCATGAGGATAGAAGAATTAATAATGATGATCATGATGATAACCTTTGTTATAAAGTCCTTTCTCAATTGTTGTTGAATGATTATTCTTCTAGCAAAAGCAATTTATAACACAGTGTCTCAGGAAGACAGTGATATAAATGGTATTTTATTCAAAATCCATATAGATGAGGGAGAGTATCTGAAAGTAAATATGAAGTGATTAACAAGCAGGATTAATGTGGGTGTTCACCTAGGCAATCACCAAGTCTGGTTAAACTTGGATTCTTGCCTCTTTTTCTCCCCTTTTATTCTTTGTCTTCTCCCTTTCCTCCTTTTCATTTTTCTTTATCTCTAATCCCTCTCACCTCCACCCTTCCCCTACCTCTCCTTACTTGATTTTTTGCTCAGCCTTTGTTCTTTATGCATTTCATTCTTTCTGTCTTTGCAGTTCATTATTCTGGCAAAGGGCACACATTTTTACACCATGTTATGAGGGTAAAAAGTTAGGAAAACCGCAAATTCCATATATCCATCTATCGCTGGGTGTTAGGAAACAGCAGGAGATGGTAGAGAGAACCAGGAACAAAGCCACCACCCTAAAGCCTGCTGCCTGGTCTATGGAGAAAACTCACTTGGTCCTTGACTTCAAGTTCAGTGCTTGTCCTTAGAAAGGGTGCAGTGATCTATTTTTGCCCCTCACCTGGCTCCCATGGCTTCTGTACACTTTCATTAAGCAGATGGGAAGCAGAGGTAGCCTTGGGGGACAGTATAGGAAATAGCCTTGAAGTTAGTACAGTTTGATCTATGCACCAAGCTGGATTGATAAGACAGTAGACCAGGAAAAGTCATGTATTTTCTCCTATTTAAAAATGTAAGCAGTATTAGGCAAGGTAAAGTTGAAAAGATTACTACGACAATCCAATCAGATCACAAAAGGCATTTTAGAAAAGAACTTCTGAGATTGAAGGTGTGCCTCAAGTGGTTGTGTGTCTATCTATTCAGCTCAAGGCTCTAAGTTCAAGCCTTAGTACTGCAACAGACCAACAAACCAAAAAGAACTTTTGACTGCTACTTTTGCTATGAGTGGCAATTACAAAACACACTTTATTGAACTGGTCTTGAACCTAGCTTGAGAATTCCTGTGTTCTTTCTTGACAAATATTTATTCTTTGGATCTAAACAGGGGGACAGTTTTGCTAACATAAAAGACAGGAATTTGGCAAAGCAGAGTGCTGATGTTGAAGACAGTGGACTCCAAGAATTGTTTAGTATTCGTTTTCCTGACTTTAGGTCATTCACTGTCTAAGCACACACAGAGTCTGGTTTCTGGATTGCTACCTGACACAGAGTCTCCTGTTAGACAACCAAATGCATGCAGCCATTGCAGGGCCAGGCCTGGTCCCCTGCCACTCACGCAGGGGGTCTTGGACACCACTTATCTTTACTGAGTGCCCATCAGTTTGTTTTATCTCAGCAACACTTACGTCATTTCCTTTGGCAGGTGAGCCAGAAGCCTTGATTCTCGAAGCATGCCGATAGTAGATCGCCAGTGATGATTCTCCAGCACAGACATATTCTGCAAAGGAAGAAAAGAAACACGCTCATGGAGGGAGGAGCAGATAGTAATCTTGAAAGGCAACCAGTGCCAAGGTGGCCAGCATCTCCTCTTCAGCCAGTTTGTAGCTGGTGATACAGAGACAGACCTGAAAGGAAATCCAAACTGAAAGCCATTCCAGGCCTGTTCTCAGAGTTATGACCAGGCAGGCAGAGTGGGAGAGCCTTGCAGAGGCTCTACTGCCCCGTTGAGTGAGGGTCTGTATTTCCAGTGCCTTTGTGGGAAGCATTCCATAGCCTGGTTGGACAACACTAAAGGTAGAAGAGTTTTATGGGAAACACTTGAAGCCAGGTAGTCCTGGGATCATGACTGTGGTCATGACATCAACCAAGATTATCTGACTAAACTGAGCAGAGGCCAGCATTAGCACCCCTGGATCTAATCACCTGCACGGAACCTTGACTTTCAACTTTGATTACAACCTCCTGGGGCAGCTCGTGACAGTTCAGATTCCTAAGCTTGTGGAGATTCAATGTCCACTAAAGTTTGAGAAGCACCATCATGGAGGCAAAATCTTGGCGTTGAATCCATTAGGTCTATATGTTGGACTCTACAGTGGCTTTCCTTATTTGATTATGTTGGTATTTGTTGCCATGTGGGAACCTCTGCTATGTTCAGTCTCCCCTTTGATGTTGCTGTTATTATAAATATGCTTCCTATCTGAACATTTAACTAGCCCTTTAAATAGTGAGTCTCTCTGACAACCCATTGTGTCTTATTTCAGATGAGCAAATATTATGATCTTACTGCTGACTTGATATATTTGATACACACACACACACACACACACAGAAAGAGAGGGAGAGTCAGAGAGAGAGAGAGAGAGAGAGAGAGAGAGAGAATAGAACTCTCCATTCCAGACATCCTTCTTCTTACCTGTTTTCTTAATTGTTTGTCATGTTGTTATAAGAGCAGTTATAAATTTACCAAAAATATGAAAAGGTAACGTTCTTTACAAGTGAGGACGAACTGTATAATTTGATTTAAATGAAGTATCTAGAGTAGTCACAATCAGAGACAAAAAGCAGAAGAATGTTTCCAGCTGATGTGTGTGGGGGGAGGAATCCTCAGATGAGTAGCTAGGATTACAGGGGTGAGCCTGTAAAATAATATGGACATAGGCAGGCACAGGTGATCACACCTGTAATCCTAGCTACTTAGGAGGCTAAGATCTGAGGATGAGAGTTGGAAGCCAGCACAATTAACAAAGAGAATGTCAGGAGTGGAGTTGGGGCTCAAGTGGTAGAGCCCCAGTAGCAACACACACACACACACACACACACTCACAAATGAACACTCAATGGAACCAGGAGTGGCATAAATTACCCCTTTCTTAATGCTTCTACTGTATTCAGATCATTCATATAACCTTTACCCTTTTCAGCAAATGAAAAGAGAACCTTCATGAACAACACATCTGGCTTTATACAGGAAAACACCGACTCAGAAAAACTGTAGCTATTGGTGAATTTTCTCAAAGTGTGCCATGTACATGTTTTACCACAAATAGATGGTAAGTCAAACATGAATTATAAGAATAAAACCAGACAAAGATTGCTCTGTAGGACTTCATTATAATGAATTTTTCTCAGTCTGTGCCTCACACTCCTCCCTGTATGGCTATTACTTAGCTCTTTATCTCTCTCATTGCCAAAGAATCATTATTCTTTATTCACAACTTGCCATTTTTGAACCAGTGATGAGATTTTATTACTTTCATCCACTGGTCTATTATCTAGTTTTGGGCATGAGCCACACACAACACAAGAGAAAGTTTGTTAGAAATAACATGCTAGACTAATTTGTTTTGATTGTAAAGATTTATGAGTGCAGACAGTGATAGGTTAGCGTGATGTAACAGATGCTCAATCCTGCAGTGACATTCAGTTCAGTTACTTATGAGTTTGCTTGCAAGATTAATTCAAGTAGATGTGAACAAGTGAATGCTCTCATGTGAGTTTTTCAAGGGACCAGAAAACTGTAACAAGACCTGATGACAAATGACACTAGATCCCTGTTGAGTGGAACAAAAATGTCAGGAGGATGGCCTAAAGCATTGTTATTTATGCCAGCCTGACTTAACATCTTCATTAATAATCTTCCTGCAGACAGGACACCAGGGTACTTGGGAAATGTGCTGGTGAGACCATATTTGGAGAGAAGCAGCAGGAAAATGGAAGAAAATGGAGCGGGCATGGAAGCTGATACAGGATGAAAGGCAGTGGAATTTAGGATCACAAGAATACCCTATTATAGATGAGTCTTTATGCAAGCAAGTGTGTTTTGGGCAGTCATGATGGAAGCAAGGGCAGTGCAGTGGTTTCCAGGGAGTAAGAGAGGAAAGGAGGTACAGGAGGAGCACATCAAGCAGGAGCTCTGTTATGACCCCATTTCACTCTCGTCCATGCCTTTTCTATTCCTAAATGAGGAGAGCTCAGGTCTCCTAGAGTGGCTACACAGCTTGGGAAGGGCTGAAGAACATTGTCTACTCCGGTTAGCAGGAATTAAGACTTGCACTTCCTGCCTCCCAAGCACTTCCTCTGTGCTACCACATCAAGGTACAAAGAGCAGGAAATTCATAAGAAGAAGACTGCCTACAATGAGACTTAGCCCCACCCCCTGCGAAGGTGGCTCAGTGGTAGAGTGCTTGCCTCGCATGTATGAGGGCCCGAGTTCGATTCCTCAGCACCACATAAGCAGAGAAAACCAGAAATGGTACTGTGTCTTAAGTGGTAGAGCGCTAGCCTTGAGCTGAAGAGCTGTGGGACAGTGCCCAGGCCCAGAGTTCAGGCCCCAGGACCCCCCAAAAAACATTAATTTAAATTATATTAAATTTATATTTGTATATTAATTATAGTTACAATATGGGTATTAAAATCTCCTCTTTATATTTTTTGTGTTAATTTTTAAATAAAAAAGTTTATTATTATTATTATTATGTCAGTTATGAGGCTTGAACTCGGGCCTGGGCGCTGTCCCTCAGCTCCTCAGCTCAAGGCTAGCCCTCTACCACTTGAGCCACAGTGCCACTTCCAGATTTCTGGTAGTTTACTGGAGATAAGAGTTTCATGGACTTTCTTGCCCGGGCTGGCTTTGAACCGCAATCTTCAGATCTCAGCCTCCTGAGTAGCTAGGATTACAGGCGTGAGTCACTAGCACCCAGCAAAATTTTTATTATCTTTAAGTAGTTGTACAAAGTGGTTTCAAGTCATCCTCTCAGTTTATGAGTACAATGCGTCTGGATCAATGTCACCCCTTCTATTATTTCCCTCCATCTCTCCCAACCCCACCCCTCCCACAAGTTACTTGGTTCCATTTTTATATATGCATATTGAATATTATACCTGTATTTGCCTACTCTTCCTCTTGCCATTTGTCTGCTTCCCCATTTTTGTTTTCTAAGATGGACTTATTTTGGTATGTTGTTTATGTTGATCTTGGACTCTTGGACTCAAGTACTTCATCCAACCCCAGCCTTGTGAGTAACTGGGATTGCAGGCATGTGTCACCATAACTGGCTAAATAATTTAAATAAAAACTTGATAGTCCATTATTCATTTTCAGACAACCAGGATCAGGTAAATGACTATAGATGTAATGTTTCAATTAGCATTTGTCATTTGTAAGATGCAAATGAGATCATTATGAAGAATTTAAAATTCATTTCCATTCAATTTTCTAGGTATACTCTTAGTCAGAATATACTATCCAGTATTAGATGTTCACTGAACACCAGACCTGTGCTGAGAATAATCAGGAAATAATTGCAAGTTACATTGACACATATTGTCATAAGAAAAGTGAGAGAGGCTGTGAAATCATATAGGAAGATAGATTGTGGAGGGAAAGAGGGCTCCCAGGATAAAAAGATGGCCAACTTGAGATCAAAAGGATGCACAAAACTTAAAAAAATAAAGGCATTGGGTGGAATCTAAGCACATATAAATGCCCTACAGTACTGAATGCACTGAATGTATAAGTATACTGAAATACAGTAGATTCAAGGAAGAACTCAAATACTGTAATTCCTTAGAAAGGCAAAGTCAGGGCTGGGAATGTGGCTTAGTGGTAGAGTGCTTGCTTAGCATGCATGAAGTCCTGGGTTTGATTCCTCAGTACCACATACACAGAAAAAGCTGGAAGTGGTGCTGTGGCTTAAAGGGTAGAGTGCTAGCCTTGAGCAAAAGAAACTCAGGGACAGTGTCCAGGCTCTGAGTTCAAGGACTTGCAAAAAAAGAAAGAAAGAAAGAAAGAAAGGAAGAAAGGAAGGAAGAAAAATAGAAAGGAAAAGAAAGAAAAGGCAAAGGCAAAGTTCTGCAAAATAAAACACTAGGAAGCAAGTACTAGAAAGGGGTGGGGTTAAAGGGAAAGAGGAGGATAAATGAAGAGAAGAGTTAAGAATATCTTCACAGAAATAAGTCAAGAATCCAATATATATCCTACAAAATTAAGAAGAGTGAAGAAAGGGGTGTGGGGCAAGGGATGGACAAGAATGTTGAAAGGCAAGACCTTGATCACAATGCATTGTATTCATAAGCTGCTTTGTTACATGGCAACTCCTCTGTACAACTACTCAAAGACAATTAAAAAAGAGAAAAGACAATTTTAATAAAGGAGGAGCAAGTTATGGAGTCTGAGATTATAAGCAACGCACTATGTTGTAGATTATATGTGAGCAAAATACACAGCATTTGGGTACCATGGGCAGAAGGAAAAACATCTGTGAATAGTACACGGAGGGACTTTTACAACTTCCTTCCCTGGCTTGTTATTATTTTTCATCTATAGAATCGATTACTTTCTAACATAGACTGCCAATTTTACTTTTATTATTCTGTTTTCCCTAGGAGGGGAAGGAGGGATTTTTATTTGTCTTGCTCATCTTCAGCGCTGCCAGCACCTGGCATGCATTAAGCCCTCCGTAAACATTTGAGCAATGATAAAGGAATGAGTGATTTGTT